GCACATTTACATTTTTCTCCTAAATAAATTATGATAAATAACATTTCTTGTAAATACTCCTTTAAAAGCGTTTTTTTTTTTTTACTATAATTTTATTATTAGTGAACTAGAACACGTGGATATGTTGTCATTCTTACACTATAATACTCAACTTTGATTTCAGTGATTTGGACTATGAGATGGACACTTGCTTCTTGCACTCTGTTGCACTTTACTTTTGCTTTAAAAAAAAAAAGGATTTCATAGAAATTTGAATTTCATTTTAATAAAATATTCTTAAGTAAAATTGTTGATTTTTGTGGGAAATTAATCATTTAGGTTGATCGATTAATCAATAAATCAGTCGATAGATTAATCGAAATAAAAATAGCCGTTAGTGGCAGCCCTAGTCTTAATGAATGAGTCATTGAATCATTCATTTATCTGATTCATTCAGAATGACTGAAATGGTGATGTTTTAATTGACCTTGTCAGTGTTTGTTTCATGCTCACAACATAGGTAAGCCATAACAGCTAAACATGTCAGCAGTTTGGACACCTCACCAGCAACAAAAATGAGTAGTAATATGTAAAATAAGTTTGACTGAAATATGAAGAAGCAACCAAAGAACTGTACTACAGCTGGATTCATTTATTACTTGAGAACAAAGCACCATGAACAGCATGAAGTGTTCATAACTTTCTCACAACACGTTTCTCTTAACGTTAGTTAACTGGAACTAGAAATTCATATTTCCTGAAGAAAATGTGAGTGGTGTAGTATTGTAGTGTCACAATTGAAACTTACACAATTTAATAACAGTTTATTAGAAGTTTAACAAGAAAATATCATTTTTAGGGCTATATGAAATCAGTTTTATATATTCCCAAATTCTTTTTTTTTCCCCAAATGTTTTACGATTTTTTTCTATAGTCCAAATGATTAATGGTTTAATTTAAATTTTAATAATTAAAAAGCATGTCTAATCACCAAAATTCATAAAACGTTACAATTTTTACAATAATAGGGCTCTTTAAAATGTTTTATTTTCAGAAATTGTTACTTTTTTTGAAAAATGGTGTTAATCAAGTGAAGGCAGGAAGCATTAACAATTTAACTTACCTTTTAAAATATAATCAAACTGAAATGTAACATTTTGGAGGGCAAACAAAGTGCTGCACCACGTAGGTTTACTTTTAGAATTAAAACGTGGAAGATATATTGTGATTTTTCTTAATTTATTTTTATCACTTTGAGAAGTGCATTCTGTATGTATTTGTGGGGCAGAACATCTTACTGAAATAAAATCAAAATCACGATCATGGTGATTTATCAAATCACTAAGGCTGCGATTTAAATATCTGTGCTGTTTCAGAGTGAAGCGCAGCAGCGTTCTTTTACTCATATGCAGCTCCTGACATTTTCACAGTTGTACTATAAAATAAGATCATTAAGTTATTTGAATATATCAATGTTTCGAACCGTGACAATTGAAAATGTTCAGACCCCACCAACGTTTTGCTGTTTTTTTTTTTTTTTATTATTTGAAATTAGTCGCTGTAGCATAAAGAAGTGGACAAATATTAAAAACGGAGTAATAGGATATTTTAAATTCAAAATAATTAGGCAAAGATTGTGCTGTAAAGTGTGACAACACCAATCGCCAGGTGGTTTGCAGGATAAGTTGTTCGTCCAAAGAATTATTATTATAGTCATCATTGCATGTTATGATTTAAAATTTAAATCTTATTTGAGATGTTAATGCATATTTTAATGCATATCTTGTCTCTCTTTTAGTATAAAACAGGCTCATATGCATGCATATACTATTATATTATGTATTTTAACAGTATTGTTCATTAAAACCATAAGATGACTTATTTTTATGGTTTATTGATCCAATCTTTAATTAAAAAAAAAAAGAAAACAAAAAAAAGAATATGATTATTTTGATTAATAAACAATAATTGTTATGCTACTTATGACTGGTTTTGTTCTCCAGGGTCACATATGTTAACATACTTACAGGATGTGAAGATGCAGTTCTGAGTTGTGTTAGGTTGTGAAAGTCGATGTCTTCTATCTTTGCAGGATCTTTAACGAGAGTTATGTGCCACATGGACTGAAGGTAGTGCAGGTGTATGCCGAGCGCAGTCTGCGGGGCCTGATGGAGCTGGAGCGCTGCTGGCGACAGCACTTTCTGACCAGCATGCAGCCCCGCCATTTGCCCCCTCTCTGGTCCGTCAACCACAACCATGACAAATATCTGCGCAAGTACGGTGAGGACCTGCAAATCCAGCTCAACTGAGCTCCTCGCCACACAAACAGAAAGAGACTTTGTGCAACAACTTCTGGGATAGGAAGGTTTCCACTGCGTGTGCAACACATTGGTGTCCTCGTCCTATGTCGTTTGAGTGTGTACCAGAGACTGACTCGCCTTGGCTACAGGTAACCTAAGACTAGACTGTGGGCCCAGTTTGACTGGGCTCTAAGGGACCAGATGGAGATCGGGTAAGAGACTCTTTGGGGATCAAAAGCCACTGTGGTGAACAGCAGAACGCTAAAATCAAGGATGGTGCAAGAACCGAAATGGTGATAGGTAAAATAACAAAAAAGCATAATGTGCACACTTTTTAATGTTTAAAATGTTGAAAAGCATTCTCATTTCCCTGTGAAAAGTAGAATCTACTGTATTTTAACCAGCCCAAACCTGCTCTTAATTCTTAATCATGAATTGAATAAAAGATTCATAGCTTACAAATCTTGCAGGTTTGAGGCCATATTAAATGTGTTTGTGTTAAATCACGTTGTCTTTTGAGGCTATACAAAATGGCCATTTTTACTTATAATGGAGCGCTGTCATTTAATTTCAGGCTGGTTTGTTTGTTTTTTTTTGTGGGTTTTTTTGCGGAAAGCTCAATTTATCTTTGTAAGACTGGACCAAATTGAGCACGGCTTAGCACATGATGTCTGTACAATGAACGATCATTCTTAGAGTCAGGACACCTCCAAAACACACCAGCATAACATCTTTCGGTGTGCGTATATATATATACCCCTGACACACTGAAGACAGGCTAAAATGATGGTGGATGAAATTCATTCTCGCCCCGACCAAGATTTTGTAGTGCTAGTTTGTGTTGTGTTTGCAGTTTAAGCCCGAGAGATTCAGCTCCATGGGATGGAAACAAATATAAATGGCCAAATCAAGGACACTGAAGTCTGAGCCTAACATAATTTAACTTAAGAAACACTACAGCTTTCCTTTTTATTTACATTTGTCCATATGTAACCTATTAAAAGCTTGTGTGTTTCCTTAATGTCAATCAATTAAATTTCATATGTTAAGACTGGATGAGTTGTCTGGAGGTTGTCTGCTCTTTTTTTACCTTGTAGATGATGTATAATATACTTCTTTTTCACATCCTGAAGAATAGCAGTTCATAAAACAGTCCAACACTCATGCAGTTTTTCTGTTTATTACTTAGTAAATCAAGATTTAATAAAGAATCTATAGAATTGTAAAAAAGAAAGGGAAAAGGGTCTAAAAGTGGGGGTTAACCTTAGTAGTGACTTACCTAGTGATTCTGACAATCTTGTACTGCAGCTTTAAGGCCTGTTTGATTGTGGCGTCGGAACAATCTGTTTGTCAAATGTCCATTTTGGATCAGTGCCAAATATGCTACATTTCACAGTATAATACATAAAAGTTTATAGCAAGCAAAATAATTTGTTACAAACATCTTGTCACATTTAGGGCCAGTCACAGTATTTAGTTTGGCGGCTAAGTGTTCTGTAAGAGTAGTGCATAGCATTTGTCAGGGAAGCAATACATAAAAAGCTAACATGAACATAACTTGAGCACAATATTTGTAATGTATATCGAGTGACGAAACTAACAGGACAAAGAAACACTCATAAAATGCCTCACCATACTACTCCGTTATATAATAAAGTAATCATCGCTGGCATAACATGAGCATGACATTGTAGTAGAATGTCAAGAAAAAACATTAACATAAATAATTCTAGAGCCTATAATCCTATAACTAACTAGACTGGATGTCTCTAGTTACTGTTTTAGGTTTTGGTGAACAGATGCAGATAATTTTTGAGAGTTATACAAGATCTGTATTCTAACCATATTAAGTGTGTGTTGAACATCAGGAGTGACTTTTCAAACAGCTGCATGATCTATAGCAATGGAAATGCAAAAGAATGTTGTATTTTGATTGAGGCACAACCATATTTTATCAACCATCTGTTACTTATTGCTTTTGCATTTATGTATCTTGTCTTGAACCACAACTAGAATAGTACAGTTCATTACAGAATACGGCATACTTTACATCTGCCAGATAATCAATCAATGGAGATTCTGTTACGTTTACATGTTCAGTCTGTGTCAGGATAACACATTTATGAAATCTCACTGGTGGTTTTGCTGGTGACTTTAGGATGAAATGGGGTATATTTTCTTTGGGGGTAAACAAGCGGGAACTGACATCATTCTCTGAACTGTCTGTGCATACAACACGTGGGCTGCTTTCACACTAGAGTTTATACTGCAGACCCAAGTCTGCTTGATGTCAGTTTGGTTCATTTGGCTGGTGTTTTCTTAACTTGAGTTATGACCAAGCAATTTGCCTTGGTACATTCTCACAATAGCTGTTTAAGGCAGTTTTCACAGGTTAAGGCTGTTAGGCCAGTTTACGTCCATATATATATATATATATAACTGTACCCCAAGCTGCCGTTTCCAAATGTACTCTGGTTTGCTTCCTCCAGAGTTTGGTAAAGAGCTATTAAAAACAACCAAACAACGTCAAGCAAACCAAAGTCCCCATCAAAAGAGAAATGACCTTGTTATAGACACATTCACATCAAAATGGCATATACATATAGCCAAACTGCACTTGTGTTTTTAAAGTTGTCTTAAACTGACAGAAGACTATAAATTACTATAATGTATCTCCACAAAAAGGTTTCAAAGATTCAAGAAACTTTCCAGATTCTATTTACTCTATTTACACAATAAATAATTAGGACTTTCTTCCTCGGCAAAATGAATGAATAAAAATGAGTCACTGCTGGATGTGGATCCGCAGGATGTAAAAGTCAAATATCCTGAATCTTCAGGCTTGTCCTTTCATCATCTTGCTCTTCCATCTTATAGTTGTCCTTCTAGCATGCTGCTGACGGCCTGATCCAGTGCACGAGGCTGTTGAATCTTGGGTTTAACCCCTGCTACAGATCCCTGCAACCTTTGTAGCTCCAGGATGCTGTCTAAAGCACTTTGCAGGTGTTCACTCAGTTCCCCGTCTTCCACTAATGCAGGCGAACTGGGAGACTCTGCTACCGAAGCAGCCAGCTTGTTCCTTTTAAGCACTGGAGTGCACTGCTCTGGAAGCAAGCCTTGCACCCTTGAAGCTACATAGTCTTGAGTGGCCACAGAATCAGAGAGGTTCTGCGAATCACTGCCTGTCCTAATTGTCTCCATGTCCAGGTGCAATTTCATCTTGTTTAGCTGATCTGGCCTCTGATCATTTTTGTCATCTGCAACAATTGACAAAGGAGACTTGAGAGATTCATCTTTCCCCTGCATGGCTCCTCCTCTAGTTAACTGCCCGCTGTAGTTTCGTTTAAACCCAGAGATCACATGTGAGGCATCACATGCATCACATGAGTTGTGGATAACTTTGCGGGATCCTGACTCTTGTCTGATAGTGAGGCGTATTGCTCCTTTGCTGCTGGAGCGATATGTCTTGAGGCCAGGAGGTCTGTCCGATTGCAAGGTCCATGATGGTGGAGACGGAGGACAACCGGCAAGGCCAGTCTGGACTGATGGCACTTGGTTCTGCTGAGATGAGTTCTTGGCCCGGGACATGAGGAAGGACTCTGCTGAACCACCAAAAGAATGAAACCTGTTCACATGTCACTGTTTCAGGTCAGAGTGCATGTAATCTGTGGCTGTAATTGCAACACTTTATAACGGAGTTTCTCAAATCTGACCCTGGAGGGTCACTGCCCTGCAGAGTTTAGCTCTAACCCTAATCAAAGACACCTAAGCAAGCTAAGGAAGATCTTCCATTATTAAAAAATGATAGGCTCCTGAGTTTGAGCAGGGTTTGAACTAAATGCTGCAGGGCAGTGGCCCTCCAGGGTTGGATTTGAGGAACCCTGTTTCACAAGTGAGAAACAAAGGCACACAAACGAATCTTGTGCCTTGTTACCTGGATCTCTTCTGGTTTTGTGTCTGTCCTCCACCAGTGAGACTCTCTCTGACTGGAGAAACAAACGCTCTAGCATCACCATCTCTGCTGATGGG